CTTGGGCTATGTACTAAAATGGAGTAAGAGTGATAGTAATTGGTTTAAAAGACACCAAGTTACATAAACAGAAGATTAACATGATTTCTGGAAAAGAAGTTTTCCTGGTTTCTAGACTTACTGGAAGATTTGCTGTAGTTTTAGAAGGAACCAATGAATTTGATTTCTAAAGTTTTGGCAAGATTGTTTTTTAAAGGTTAAAATGAAATTTAAAGGAAATGTGGCGTGAGTTGGCTTAAGGGCTGAGTGAGGTGGAGTGAGAGAGAAATCCATGGGGAGTGCTGACAGTGGAGATTTCCAGGACTGGTGCTTGAGGCTAATTTGGGTTTTAAATTTAGAAAAGAGAATGCACATGAAATGTTTTAATTTGCCAGTGGTACAAATCTCCATATGTAGCATAATGTAAAGCTAATGGAAATATATTTTCAGAAGCTCTCTTCAAGTTATTATGAGACAGCAAAAAGTAAATTAATTTGGTCATGGACAAATTGAGAAAGTGTATCTGAAGAGAAACAGTTACCATGTTTTTGAGATGATGAGCTCCAAGCTATCAGTTTAGAATATAAGAAGGAAATAAAGAACTGTCCTTGAAGAATTTTAGCTTCTGGGTAGAAAGGCTAATGAAAGTAACAATGTTACTCTATACTTACATGAAACTTTAACATATAAATCTTAAACTCTACTATGATTCTCCATGACATGCCTTTTAAGAAAGATATGAGAATAGGGCAAGGTCCTGAGAAGAGCAGCTGGCATGATCAAGGAGATAGGTGATTCAGAAGATTAAGACTCTAAGGAGATAGGAGAGAATGCAGAAAAGGAGAATAATGTTTTCCCTCAATCTTAGATTCTTAGAGCCAAAAGTTGTCTCATGAAACTTCAGAGAGGACATCATAAGCTAAGCAAAAATTTGTATTACTTCATCAATTGGGTAGAGATGGGAGAAACATTTACCCTAAATTTATATGCCCTGAGACAATGTCCTAAAATTTTTCACATGGCCTCAGGCTTTCAAACTTTATGCCTTGTGTCGGACCCTCTGAGATTTGAATTCAAATAATATTGAAAAATACCTGGAAAACAGTGCTGAAGGATGTACTAGAATTCTAATCCAGCTTACTGCTTGTTTTTGTAGGGCCTTCAGGCTAATAATTGTTTTTACATTTTTAAGTGGTTGGAGAAAAAAATCAAAAGAAGGGGGGTAATATTTAGTGATGAGTGAAAATTACATGAGAATAAAATATCAGTGCTGTAAGTGAAAGTTTTATTGGGCTACAGCCATGCTCACTTGTGGATGTAGTGTCTACGACTGCTTTTGCACTACAGCAGTGGCAGAGACCCAATGTCCTATAAAGCCTAAGTTACTCTCTGGCCCTTTACAGGAAAAGTTTGCCAGCCTCTTAGATAGACTAATAAAATTAGCGTCGTTTTTCCAGGAAAAGAAAAGATTGTAGTGACTAGAGGAAAAGCGTTAAATAGGTGAAGAGATGTTATATACAGTCATGAACCACATAACGTTTCGGTCAACGACATACCGGTGGTCTCATAAGATGATAATGGAGCTAAAAATTCCTATTGCCTAGTGACATCATAGCCATTGTGACATCATAGCGTAATTACCTTATTTTTTTAAAATTTAGCATAGCCTAAGTGTACAGTGTATAAGTCTACAGTTGTGTACAGTAATGTCCTAGGCCTTCACATTCATTCACCGCCCACTCACCCAGAGCAGCTCCCAGCCTTGCAAGTTCTATTCACAGTAAGTGCCCTATGCAGGTGTAACGTTTTGTCCTTTTAGACTGCATTTTGGTTGTACCTATTCTATGTTTAGATGTGTTTAGCTATACAAATACCATTGTGTTACAGTTGCCCGCAATATTTAGTACAATCACATGTTGTTTAAGTATGTGATGGACCACACCATGTATATACCCGAGGTGTGTAGTAGGCTACACCATCTAGATTTGTGCGGGTATGCTCTGTGATGGTCCCATGACAAAATCCCCTAATGACACGTTTCTCCGAACACATCCCTGTCGTTAAGTGACACATGACTGTAAATGGTGCTGGGCAGCATGCTGTTCTTTCCTGTGCTGTTCTTTCTGTTTCTGGTCTAACACAGAGGCCGTTAGCCTCCTGGGACTATTTGCATTTAATTAAATACAACTTAAAATTCAGTTCTTCAGCTACATTGACTGCATTCCAAGTGCCCAATAGCCACATGTGGCTGGTGGCCACCATATTTGAAGAACATTTCCATCATTGCTTAAAACTCTGCTGGGCATGGCTGTGTCATAGTAGATACGGTACTTTGTGCCAGGTGCTGCTCTTGAATCTTCTCAAAAACTTCTTGAAGTAGGGATTATTATCACTGCTGTTCTACAGATCAGAACGTTGAGGAACAGGGAAGTGAAGAAACTTGCCTAGAATCACATAGCTGGTGTCAGGCAGCATTTAAGCCCAGGCAGCCTAGCCTCAGAGTCTTGCTTAATCATTTCGTGCTTATGTGTTGACAGTGCTGTACAGATTTTGAAACACAAAACTTAGAAAAGTTGTATACAGTATAATAGCTGCATTCCTTCCTAGAAGGAAATCGAGAGATAGGAACTGGACTAGTGTTTTGGAGACCTTTCAGTCTTCATTAGGTTAAATGGATCATTTGAATTCTGACTTACCTTCATAGTAGTGTTGACCCTTTCTAATTAGTGGAAATTATTTTGGCAAAGGAAGCCATTAAATGGGAATTTTGCCTTCACAATGGTTATATGTATTTGTGTTAATTCCAGCATGCTGTAGTCTACATGATAGACTACATGCTATAGTATCATGTCCTCTTACCTTTTTAGCTGTGTTGAAGGCTGTGTTGCTGTTGAGTTATAATTTCACTTGAGTAGAGGTGTAGGGGCCACATGTGATACTGTGTTTGGTATTACATACGAAGGCTGATGCCCTCCGTTGTATAGCATGAATATTGGGTGAGCATTTTAGTGGATGAACACTTCCTTCTTCTGAATATTACTAAGTTTTTTTGGTTTTATTTTAACAAATGCATAGATTTCATGTGTCAGGCACTATTTGGAGTACTTTATAAATGTTAACTTATTTAATCTCCATATCCCTATGAGAGAAATACTGTTGTTGTTTTTTTTTGAAATGGAGTCTTGCTCTGTTGCCCAGGCTGGAGTGTAGTGGCGCGATCTTGGCTCACTGCTACCTCTGCCTCCAGGGTTCAAGCAGTTCTCCTGCCCCAGCCTCCCCGGTAGCTGGGATGACAGGTATGTGCCACCACACCTGGCTAATTTTGTATTTTTAGTAGACACGGGGTTTTGCCATGTTGACCAGGCTGGTGTCGAACTCCTGACCTCGGGTGATCCGCCTTGGCCTCCCAAAGTGCTGGGGGGTTACAGGCATAAGCCACCGCACCTGTCCGAGAAATACTGTTATCTTCATTTTGCAGATGAGGAAACTAAAGCACCCATGAGGAAAGTGACATGTTAGTTTGACCACAGTCACACAATTAGACAAGTGATAGCACTGGGATTTGAACCCAGGCAGTCTGGCCACAGAACCTGTAATCTTGCCTGCTGTGTTTTGCTGCCTTTCTGGTGGCAGTGGACTATTGATTTGTTTTAATTGTACACCAACCATCTCGTCTTGGTTTGGGGGATATTAGCAAGTATAGAGGATTGTTGACAGCACTAGTAACTGAGATCAAAATGACAAGTGTGGCTCTGTGGCACTCCCAGAAGCCTCATGACTAGTATACAGGCAGTATACAGCTCTACCTCTATAAAATAAATACTTGTCCCAGCTAAATAGCTCTTAGTCATTTTTGATTAGCACCAAAAGTATTTCAGGGCACACATGACTTGCTGGCTTCCTCAGCTGGTAAATTCTGTCATGAGTAGCCTGAGCTCCTTTTTTGAGAGGGTGGGTCAGCGTTATGGGTCCTGCAGAACTTCAGCTACACCTGGGAGAAATTTTGGAAGCTTCAGTAGGAAAGTGTAGCTTAAAATTAGCCTATATTCCCCAGGAAGTTGATACAGCTTATCTCCCTCTACCCTGATGTTCAGCTTGATCTGGTTATTGCCACTTTCTTCACTGCTACTACCTTGTAGTTCATTGTTCTTAAATTAATGGAAGAGGTCCTTCAAAGTTAGCCCGTGTGGTCGTTGTCTATCCCCGTGTGCTTAAGAGTACACATGTGCATGGAATTGTATTCCAGTATAGTTAATCTAGAAATATCTAACCAACTTGGCAGCATTTCTTGGTTGCTTGCTGTGAAAATGCTAAAAATTGTGTTTAAAAATAAAAATTGTTGTGCTTCTGAGTGTAATACCAAATTTGGAAACCAGATTTTTAAAAACAGCATCTATATTAATATGATAAATGCTTTTTGTTAAAATATCTTAATAATTTTTTAGAAAATTTAGAAAGCATTTAAAAACTATTGGAGACATTTGCAACTCTGAAAATTATTTTATTGTATTTTTAAAATTAATTATTAAAAAATTTTTTAAGACGGAATCTTGCTCTGTCACCCAGGCTGGAATGCAGTGGTGCCATCATAGCTCACTGTAACTTTGAACTTCTAGGCTTGAGTGATCTTCCTGCCTCAGCCTCACAAGTAGCCAGGAATACAGGCTCGTGCCATTGTGCCCAGCTAATTTTAAAAAATTTAAAAACTTTTTTGTAGGGACGGGCTCTCACTATATTGCTCAGGCTAGTCACAAACTCCTGGCCTCAAGTGATCTCCTACCGCAGCCTCCTAAGGGGCTGAGATTACAGGTGTGAGCCACCATTCCTGGCCCTATTTTAGTATATTTTAAATATATATAAATCCACTCAGTGAATGGATTTGTAAGAGAATTGTTTAAAGTTGACTGGAATTATAACATTTTACATTTCAGACATTGTCAAATTCTTTTTCAATTCTAAGCATGACTTAAGGCTTTATGTCCTGTTGTTTATATTCTAATTTTGTGTTTCCTTATTTTCAGGCCGAAATAGAACTATTTGTGAACAGACTTGACTCAGTGGAATCAGTTCTTCCTTATGAATACACAGCGTAAGTTTTTCAGCTTGGTTTTTATATAAAATTCAGGATTTTGTACATTGAGAACTTTGTTTTCTCACAGTTGTGGACAAATTGATATCCATTTTTAAAATGTACGCGGCCTGAAAATATTTTTTAAGGTGTACTCTTCCAAGATGTGGTTAAAAATGTGATCTTTGTTTTATATTTCTTTGTAATACAACAGAAGCACTGACTAAACAGTGAATTTCCTTTTTTATCTGACTGAACAAAAAGGTATTTTGTTTTCTTAACATTTTAAAATTATAAATAGCTCCACATATTTTTAAACAAAATTTTTATGTCCCACATAATCAGTTCCCAGAAATAACTACTTTGATGTCTACTTCTCCACATTTTTTTCTCTGAATAGTCTAATCTATATAATCACATTTATTCATTTTTGTTTTAAACAGAAGTAGATTCATAGTATTTATATTTACATTTATTTTTATGTTTTTGAGACAGAGTCTCACTGTATCACCCAGACTGGAGTGCAGTGGTGCGATCTTGGCTTGCTGCAACCTCTGCCTCTGCCTCTGGCATTCAAGTGATTCTCCTGCCTCAGCCTCCCAAGTAGCTGGGTTTACAGGCGCATGACACCACGCCTGGCTAAGTTTTGTATTTTTAGTAGAGACGGGTTTCACCATGTTAGCCAGGCTGGTCTCAAACTCCTGGGCTCAAATGATTCACCCACTTCGGCCTCCCAGAGTGCTGGGATTACAGGTGTGAGCCACTGCACCTAGCCCATACTATTATTTTGGATTGGCACCTTGTTTTTCTCATTGAATATATTGTGGGCATCTTTCCATGTCAATACATAGCTACCTCACTCTTTTTAGTGGCTGTTATTATTTCTATTTTAGAATTATATAGATTCCGGCCAGGTGCAGTGGCTCACGCCTGTAATCCCAGCACTTTGGGAGGCTGAGGCGGGCGGATCACGAGGTCAGGAGATCGAGACCATGGTAAAACCCAGTCTCTACTAAAAATACAAAAAATTAGCTGGGCGTGGTGGCGGGCGCCTGTAGTCCCAGCTACTTGGGAGGCTGAAGCAGGAGAATGGCGCTCCAGCCTGGATGACAGAGCGAGACTCTGTCTCAAAAAAAAAAAAAAAAATTGTATAGATTTCATGTACAGTTAGTTTCACTAATTTCCCGTTTACCAACATTTGATTATTTCCAGGTTTTTTGTTTGTTTGTTTTTGAGACAAGGTCTTGCTCTGTTGCCCAGGCTGGAATGCAGTGGCGCCATCATGGCTCACTGCAGCCACAACATCCTGGACTTAGGTGATCCTCTCATCTCAGCCTCCTGAATAGCTGTGACCACAGGCATTTGCCACCATGCCTGGCTAATTTTTTTTTTTTTTTTAATTTTTTGTGGTGATGGAATCCCACTGTGTTGCCCAGCCTGGTCTCAAACTCTTGGGTTCAAGTGATCCTTCCACCTTGGCCTCCCAAAGTGCTGGGATTACAGACATGAGCCACTGTGCCTGGCCCAGTTTTTTGATATTGTGAAAAATGCTGCATGAATATCCTTTATTCATTTGACCATTGTATACTATATTGGGTCTAAAACCATTCTTAAAATTTTGTTGAATCTAATTTCTCTGCTATTTAAGAGTTTTAAAAGAAAATAGTTTGCTGTGGGGAAAAGCATACACAAAAAAGTTAAGACTATCCTAAAGAATTAATATACTTAAATATGTCTAAGAAAAGATATTTATAGTCTACCCAAAATACATGAATGGGTAGACTATAATTTAATTATTGGATACTTAAATTTTTTTCTAGTTTTTGTTTTGTTAAACATCTTTAAATCTTTGTGGGTATTCTTAGGAAAAGTCAGTGGATCTGTTATATACAGTAAATGGAGATTCTTAATTTGGGAACTTCAGCCGCAGTATTGTTTTTAATCACCAGAGATCCACCTGCCTCTTTAGGAATCTCAGTAATCTGTTACTATTACTGTACTGATCTCAGGTATTCCCTGTATCATTCCAGGGTGAGCACAGAACTGCCCTTTAATTTTCTGTGGCAAAGCTGAAATTAAGCTGTAATGTTTAAACAGAACTTTATTAAAGTCGATTAGTAATACAAGGGAATTACAACACAGAGAATCTTATAGGTGACTGACTACATCTTCTCTACAGCACTCTTCACAGGGAGTCTGTTTAGCCATACTTCACATGTTGGGATGTGTTGGCCAGTGTACTGAGATGAGACAGAACTGCAGGTAGACTTGACATACATTACTGAAATATCATTTTTAATTAAAGGTTTGAATTAGATATAGAAGGGAGATAAGGTATGCAAAATTTGTTTGGATAATAAGGATCTAAATCATTTTATTATTGGAGTGAACAAAAATAAATTATAATGAGTCAATTTAAAAGATCCTGTAATATGCACTCTAATAAGAGAATGTTATTTAGAAAACAAAATATTCGAAGGCATAATTTTAGGTGTTTTTTATGGGGGAAGATGTGTTACATAGGACTTGGGGTATGGATAGATTTCTTACTCATCTACTAGAGCTACTAGAATGATCAGTACCTAATCTGCTCTCAAGATTGGCTAGATGTTTGATATTTCATCGTTCCCTTTTATGTGTAAAAATTTAAATATTCTTCTCCCAGGTTTGACTTTTGCCAAGCATCAGAAGGAAAGCGCCCATCTGAAAATCTTGGTCAGGTACTATTCGGGGAAAGAATTGAACCTTCACCATATAAGGTTTGTATTTAGTGTTACGTAATAATTATTTACTTACAGCTTTTGCGTTTTGTTATTTAAGAAAAGACTGAGATAACTCAGCTATCATTGCTAAGGAGGAGTTCATTTCTCTTTTTCATCTAGGAATAGTTTCTTAAAATCATAGTTAGAAGGATCCTTCTCCTTCTCATAATGTGTCATTTATAAGTCTGTCTTAATGAACATTCATGCAACTAATGTTATGAAGATAAGACGGTGGCTTAAGGGGCAAGACTCAGACGCTCTGCCTCCTTTGCAGAAGGGTCCTGAAACCCACCTTCCAGTCATGAGGGGTTGTCCCAGCTGCTCTATGACTGTTTCCCTCTGTTTTCCAGCAGTATCTAGAGACACTCTCTGTTAACACGTATAATGCTTCCTGGGCTCCCGCATTGGGATTTTTGGAAGCTAACCTTTCTTTTCTTTTTTTATTTTTTTAAGACAGAGTCTTGCTCTGTTGCCCAGGCTGCAGTGTAGTGGTGAGATCTCAGCTCACTGCAACCTCCGCCCCCCGGGTTCAAGCAGTTCTCGTGCCTCAGCTTCCTGAGTAGCTGGGACTATAGGTGCATGGCACCATGCCCAGCTAATTTTTTTGTATTGTTAGTAGAGATGGGGTTCCACCGTGTTGGTCAGGCCGGTCTCAAACTCCTGAACTCAAGTGATTTGCCCACCTCGGCCTCCCAGAGTGTTGAGATTACAGATTTGAGCCAGTACGCCTGGCCTGACCTTTCTATTTTGATGACTGAAAATGTATTTGGAACATCTTTGGTACATTTTTAGAACACCAGTTAAACCAAACTAAGCACAATATAAGGTGTTCTTTTCAGCATATGTACTTCATCATCTCTCAGAATTCTTTTGCCTTTAAATCTGTTATCTTTTAAGCCTATTATCCTTCCACATTGCATAGTCCCTGTTTGTTTTATATCTATTCTCCTACTGTACAAAGAACAATGGTATTTTGCTTTTAGAAACATTAGTTTATTATAATAATGTATCACCATATAAAAAATTAAATGTTGCAGAAGAATAATAATAAACGTGCAGTTCTGCTTCACAGCTTGTTATTAAAATTTCCTGAAAATTTTCATACACCTATAAGCTTATATTAAATAGATTAGATATACTTATTTGTTTTAACATACTATGTTCCACACTCTGCATTTTTCCTTTAACTCTCTACCATGGGCATCTGTCCACATGAGAATGTGTGTTCTAATGGCTCTAACTTGACTCCAGGTTTTATTCCCCAGCCTGACAGCTTCCTCTCCTGGCTTCGTGTCTCTGCTATGGCTTAGACCTCATACATATCCACCTTCCCTGCTTTCTCACGAGGCACCCCTGTCTCCCTCAACATTTTGTTACATGGAGCACAACATTTATTATCTGTCCAGCAAATCCCTAAGCCTAGGTTCATCTCACCAACCATCTTACTCCCTCTAGCACCTGCATCTACACTGTGAAGCCCTGGGGGAAAAGAGACATCGCGGTGCAGATTTAATCCACTGCAGGTTGATAGTTTTTGACCGTAAATATATCCTCTTCAAATATTCTTTTTTTTTTCTTTTCTTTTTTAAGAGATGGAGCCTTGCTCTGTCACCCAGGCTGGAGTGACGTGGCACAATCATAGGTCACTGCAGCCTCAAACTCCTAGGCTCAAGTGATCCTTTTATCTCACTCCCCTGAGTGGCTAGGACTACAAATGCATACCACAACATCCAGCCAATTTTTAAATTTTTTATCAAGACAAAGTCTCACTCTGTTGCCCAGGCTTGTCCAGAACTTCTGGCTTCAAGCAATCCTTTTGCCTCAGCCTCCCAAAGGGTTGGAATTATAGACATAGATGTGAGCCACCACCTGATGCCTTTCAAATACTTTTTTTTTTTTTTTTTTTGAGACAGAATCTCACTCTATTGCCCAGGCTGGAGTGCACTGGCACGATCTCAGCTCACTGCAACCTCTACCTCCTGGGTTCAAGTGATTCTCCTGCCTCAGCCTCCCAAGTAGCTGAAATTACAGGCGTGTGCCACTATGCCCAGCAAATTTTTGTATTTTTTGTAGGGATGGGGTTTTGCCATGTTGGCCAAGCTAGTCTCAAACTCCCGACCTCAGATGATCTGCCTGTATCGACCTCACAAAGTGCTGGGATTACAGGCATGAGCTACTATACCTGGCCCCCTTTCAAATATTCTAATCTGAAATTGTCTACCCTAAAATTGCCAGTAACTTTTAAAGTTTCCTAAACACAGTAGATGCGAAGGCCCTAATGGGATGAAGTCACTGGGGAGGAAGGAACTCAAAGTGTATGGACCTGGTGCCATTGAGCAGGGCAGGCATGTAACTTGTGAAACACCACCTCCCTCTTGGAATGTTTGGAAGATTACTTTGAATGGTATTGCATTCTTCTTATAGCAGATGGCTGTTTTCAGGCATGCTTATTAAATTTTACAATCTTAAATACTCCAGTAGCCTCTCAGCCCCATCTCTCTATTTAGTTGTGTCTTGGCCTTGAGAAATGATGGGTGGAAAGAACATCAGTAATGCCCTTAGAGAACTGGGAAGACAGCAGGAGTCCCTAGCAGGAAACAGAGGGAAACCCAGCAAAATGTTCAAACCATGGAGAGGTGTTGTCCCTTGGGGCAGACTTTGAAGGCAGGTTACTCCCCTTAATAGGACGTCATTGGGCACATTTCGGTTTCTGTGCAAGGACTGTTCCTTGCTCATACACAGGACCCTTTTGGGGGCCTAGGACTTTTCAGATTTAATCCTTTGTTGCAGAAGTTGAGGTTAAATAGAATAAAAGGAGAGCTTTAGAATGGAGAAAGATGTGCACACAACATTTTCCCTGAGTCTCGTGGAATGTTTTAGCATCAGTATCTGTACTAAAACACATTCTCTAAGCCTCAAGTTTAAAGGGGCAGAGCAGGCACGTTTTAAGGCCAAGGTGTAGGTAAATAGAAACGTGGGACTCAGAAGATTTTTTTCCAAGCCAGCCATAAATGTATTGACTAGTGTTTTTCATTTCACTATTTGTTCTTTATTTTCAAGGATTTCTCTCTGTCTCTCTGTCTCTGTCTCTGTCTCTGTCTCTGTCTCTCTCTCTCTCTCTCTCTCTCTCTCTCTCTCTCTCTTCTTTCTTTCTTGTCTTTCTTTCTTGTCTCACTCTGTGGCCTGGGCTGGGCCACAGCTCACTGCAGCCTTAAACTCCCAGGCTCAATAAATCCTCTCACCTCAGCCTCCTGAGTAGCTGGGACTACAGGTATGCCCACCATGCCCAGGTAATTTTTATTTTTTGGAGAGACAGGGTCTCACTATGTTGCCCAGGCTGGTTTAGAACTCCTGGGCTCAAGCAGTCCTCCTGCCTTAACCACCCAAAGTTCTGGGATTATAGGTGTGAGCCACTATACCCAGCTTTATCTTATTTTAGATCTGCCATAAAAACTGAGGTAACAACCAGCAACAAAATAAAATCCCAGTCTGCTTTGCCATCTTTTATATTTGACTTCTGTTTAGGTCAGGAAAACAACAGTGCAAGACACTGTGTGTATTACGTGAAGCTGGAACCACATTTCAGAGGACCATAAAATCTCATCTGAGATCTAAGCACTCATATTCAGTAACTCAGTTAACATATTTGCTCCATACCTTTCATGTGCCAGGCACTGTGATGGGATACAGCAGTGAGCTGAACAAAAATCTCCGTCCTCATGGATCTTTTATGCTGATGGGGAGAAGGAGACAAAATAAGTTACCAGAATATATGTTTCAATTACTGATGAAAGAACTATTGAAAATAAATCTGGGAAGGTGTGGGGGAATTTCTAATTTTAAATAGGCTTACTGCAAAGGTGAATTTAAAATCTTAAATTTAAAAAGCCTTACCGAGAAGGTGACATTTGAGCAAAGACCTGAAGCAAGTAAGGGAGTGAGCTACGTGAATATGAAGGGGAGGTGTTCTAGCTGAAGAGAGGCCCCAAGGTGTGCAACTTGAGCAGGCGAGCAAGATAGAGCATATTAGGCAATGAGCACAGAGAAGTAACAGGACCACATTATAGAATGACTCAGAGGCCACTCTAAGGATTGGCCTTTACATCTGAGCAAGATGGTTAGCTAACACTGGAGGGTTTTGAGTAGGCTTCGATTTTACCAGGGTCACCCTGGCTGCTGTACTGAGAATGGACCATGGGGATGCGAGGGGAGAAGCCAGGAGACCAGTAGGAGGCCTTCTCCCTCATTTAGATATGATCTGTCTCGGGAGGGGTGAGGAGGTGGGAAAGAGGTCAGAATCTCTGAATCTGCCTTTGTTTTGAAGGTGGCCAACAGAATTTGCCAAGGGATGGGATGCGGAGTGTGGAGTTTCTATTTTCTAAGATGGGACAGTGTGGGAAGAGCCAGGTTGGGGAATGGGGAAGAGTTAGTTTTGGACGTGGCAAGTGAGAGGTGTTTATTAGGTGTCCAAGCAGAGATGTTGAATAAACAGCCAAATACATGCTTCTGGAGTTTGGAGGAGGGCTTCATCCTGGATATACACAGTATATATTTGAGAATCATCTGTGTATAGATGGTATTTACAGTCATGGAATTGAAGAGATCCCCAAGGGAGTGGGTATAGATGAAGGAGACAAGATTCAAAGAGGCGCTCTTCTGACCTGTAACACCAGGCGCCCCAAGGGCTCCTGGTATTGTATTTTTAGTAGGAGTGGGATTTTACCATGTTGGTCAGGCTGGTCTCGAACTCCTGACCTTAAGACATCCACCCCTCTCAGCCTCCCAAAGTGCTGGAATTACAGGCATGAGGCTCAGACCCTTGGAGCACCTGGTGTTATAGGTCAGGAGGATGGCGAGAGTCTAGCAAAGGACACTGAGAAGGAGCCATTGATGAGAAAGAAGGGTAACAGGGAGATTGTGGTCCCTGGAGGCCAAGGCAAGAAAGTGTTTCCAGGAGGAGGGATTGGTTGATTTGTCACTGATGGGTCAGGTGAGATGAGGACGGATGATTGACCTTGGGTTTAACCTTCAATGTGGAGGTCACTGATGAGAAAGCAGCCGTGGTAGAATAGCCGGGTGGAGAGAGAACGGAAAGGCCAGTTGCAGGTGGGCACATCTACAACTGTCTTGAGGACTTTTATTTTACTGGCAGTGAGAAAAAGAGTGGTAGCTGGAGGATGGCATGGCTCAAAGAGGACTGTTTTTGTTTGTTTGTTTGGAGACAGAGTCTTACTCTGTTGTCCAGGCTGGAGTGCAGTGATGCAGTCTCAGCTCACTGCAACCTTCACCTCCCAGCTCCAGTGTTTCTCTTGCCTTAGCCTCCTGAGCAGCTGGGATTACAGGTGCCTGCCACCACACCTAGTTAATTTTTGTATTTTTAGTAGGGACAGGGTTTCGCCATGTTGACCAGGCTGGTCTCAAACTCCCCACCTTGGGTGATCTGCCCATCTTGGCCTCCCAAAGTGCTGGGATTACAGGTGTGAGCCAAGGTACCCGCCCCAAAGAGGACTTGTGATGGATCTTTAAGCAAGGCATGTATGTGGATGAGTATGATCAGTAGATATACGAAAAATGATGTTTTAGGAGATGGAAGGATTGCCATGGGTGTCCTTGCTCTGGGAAGAAGGGATGGGACCCAGTGTGCTGGTGGAAAGGTTGGCCTCAGTGAGCTCGTTCATCCGTGGTAACTGGAGGGAAGGCAGAGACATGGGGTGTGATGCTTGGAGGTAAATGTGGCAATTGCTCCTGATTCCTTAGTGAAGTAGGCAGCATGGCCACCCCACCTGTGAGTGAGGAGGGAGGCAGCAGTCAAGTAGGATCCAGGAGAGCGAATAGAGAAGGAGTGTGGAGCAGCTGCTAGGCTGCATCAGGGACCCTCTGGCCAGCTGATGGTTTGAAGTAACAGCAGCCAGCGTGCTTACTTATGTATCTCCAGCTATCTCCAGCTGTGCTGCTATGAGTTGGATTTAACCAGGTTTGTGGTTTTAACAAGTGAGTACCAAAAAAGTGAGAGAACACAGGATGTGAGGACATCCTTGGATGTTATGAAAGATGGAGATACTGTTGAGCTTGGAGTTTGAGCTTGCACAGGGGGCATGTAAGGCCACAAAAGGAGTAAGAGACAGTGAAAAGACTGTAGGATCTGTCGATTCAAGTGGCATCCAGAGCTTGTTGGAGGTGAGGAACATTTAAGCCAGTGAGTTGGAACAGTGGGAGGAGGTGGTTTGACACTAGGAAGCTTGAAATGAAGATAACGGCAGGGACTCCTGTCATTGTTAAAGGCAGGGTGAAGTGCGACCAGAGGAGCGAGTCCTTTGAAATAGGATGAAGACCAGAGTTGCTGGAGGAGAGGGCAGAGGATCAAAAGGTCATTGTTTTCAAGGATCATTTATATAAATGTTGTAATCACCAAGAATCAGGAGCCAGGAGGAGTGTTGGAGTGACAGTGTGTCTGGAGCTGAGGGCCGGTGACCTGGGGTTGGTAGATGACAAGAACAGGAAGGAGTAGGGGCGGTGTGGTCTGATCACATGGGAGTCAAAGCTAGAGGTTTCTAGAGGAGGGAGAATGGTCTGGCCCAGTGCTGGGGCCTATGAGAGAAAACAGGCACCACTGGCAAGACTCCAGTGAGGCAGCGTCCCTCAGGGACAGCCAGGTTTCCATCAGAACAGGCACCAGTATTCTACTGGTGACACATGAGTTTCAGGGTATAGTGGAAGGGTTTAAGCAGTTGGGGTGGGGATCCATTTTGGGATTCAAATGTGAGAATGGAAGGATGACATGGAAATCCTGGACTTCTGGTGGTGACTAATATTCAGAGGGGTAAAGGGCATAATGGGGTTATCCTTGCCAGAGCAAGGATACCCATGGCATAATGAGTCCTGCCCATTAGTCCTAATGGGCAGTAGTCCATTCTCATGCTGCTATGCAGAAATACCAAACTGGGTAACTTGTAAAGAAAAGTGGTTCAGTTGACTCATAGTTCCACATGACTGGGGAGGCCTCAGGAAAACAATCATGGCAGAAAGGGAAGCAACCATGTCCTTCTTCACATGGTGGCAGAAAAGAGAAGTGCAGAATGAAGCAGGCAAAGACCCTTATAAAACCATCAGATCTTATGAGAACTTACTATCCCAAGAACAGCATGGGGGACCACCCCCATGATCGAATCACCTCCCACAGGTCCGTCCCCCAACACGTGGGGGTTACAATTCAGATCACAATTGGAGATGAGATTTGGGTGGGGACACCAAGCCAAACCACATCAGTCCTGATGGTCTCAGGCTGCATGGGGGAGAAGTCTTGCCAGGAGTGTGCAGCCTGACATGATTTCCCTCAGATATGGACTTCGATATAATTTTTCTGCTACTTGCTAAAAGCTGGTGGTGAGATACGTAACAGTAACTGTTGTTTAGTGAATACCTGTTTTCATCAGTCAGCATGCTACGTGTTTTGCACACACATTTCTGTATCTGACAACCCTGCAAGGCAGGTCCTGCTCCCATTTTACACATAAGTTAACGGAAGCTGAGGCAGGGTTACGCAGCTTTCCCTGGCCTCCTAACAAGATGGAGCTGACCTGTACCCAGGTCTGACTCTAGATTGATAAAGCCTTTGATTTTCAGAACTATTCCAAGGAGAATTTTAAATCCTCACCGAAATAATCCAGGAAAAATTATAATCCCACGTTTGCCCAAATAGAAACAGAACGGTGCTGTGCTTGTGTGTTATAAGGAGGATTTGTTTCCCTTGGGAGCTAAGAATATTTAAAAATCCTTAACAAAACATAAAGTACAATTCCATCCATAACCAAACATGATTTAAAATATTATAAAATTCCCGACTAAACACATGACAGGGAGAGGCTGTAGGGTGTTGTGCTGAAGAGCATTTTCTCCGGAGCTCAACTCGCTTGGCTGAGATCCTGGCTATGCCGACGCTCAGTTGTGTGACTTGGTGCTCCGGTTTTCTCCTCTGTAAAAGATGGATAAGCATTGTTTGGAGGATTACATGAGGCTTGATATATACAAAGTATATGGAACACAGGAAGCACTAAACAGATGTTAACCTATTACTACTTTAAATGTCACCTTAGTCTTGCTATTTCCTTCACAATTGAACACACAGGTTGACTCACCTAACGAAGTGAGCGCTGGATTGAGGTGTCAGATTTGCCATTTTGGTGTAATACTGTCTCTCTCTGCTTAACTTATTTTAAGTTTGGTACCTGTGCTTCTGATTCCTTAGTATGTATACTTTTGTTTTCTATTTTTCACTTTTTAGGAATGAATCTTTAAGGTTCACATAAGGTTTAAAATATCAACTAGCGGTACAAATACGGCTGTATTGGAAATAGCAATGCAGACAGAATGAAAGCATTGGCTGACAGGTGGCAGCAGTGGACTGTGCTTAAACATTCACTTAGCTGCTTCACTGCACCTGCTTTAGGGATGTTACTAAATACATACATACAAAGAGTGGGCTGCGTAGAAGTGAACCATGCCATTTTTTTTTACCACCTTATGTAATAAAGTTTGAATTTATTAAAAGATACAATTACGGCTGGTTGTATAGTTGGTAAATTTCAGCCTTCTGGAGTCATGTTTACCTTGATTTTAGACATCTGAATGTCACTTTTTCTTATATTATCACATGCCATCTTGTTCACTGCTGAATCTCTATCACCTGACACTTAAGGAGGGCACTTAACATCTATTGATTATTTGAACATAAAAATTTGCTTGTTACTAGAAAGCCATCAACTCCAGAATTCCTAAGACATGACCATGGGATATTACTAGGAGAGACTAAAGTTCCATTTTTGTTCTACATGGGATTTTTTTTTTCTCTTCTAGAACTAACTTACGTTTAAAAGGTAAGTCGACTGATATTACCAAAAAGAACGTATCAAAGGAAAACTTGATGACAAGTCTTTAGAGAAACACAATAGGAGTAATATTTACATCTGATTGAGCTATGAGGAATTTAAAAATTTATTTATTACCAATATTAATCCACTAAGTAATTTAATGGGGCTAGCATTTTTACTGTGTTTGTGATATTGATATGAAGAACCTGGATATTTTTTCTGAATTTGCTTTCCACTTCCTTTTAATACAGTTTACGTTTAATAAGGAGGAGACCTGTAAGCTTGTTTGTACAAAAACATACCATACAGAGAAAGCTGAAGACAAACAAAAGTTAGAATTCTTGAAAAAAAGCATGTTATTGAATTATCAGCATCACTGGTAAGGCATGAATATTTTTGATTTTGGGGTTTATCCTTTCCATATGAAATCTTTGTTGCATTGACTGTATAACTTACTTGTAAGATTGTGTAAAATATAGCAAATTAATTGATTTCCTCTTTTTGTTACTAGTGGTCGTAGTTTGATGTAGTGACTGTTGATTAAAGATGACAACATCATTTAAAGAATTATCTTTTAACCATGTTTAGATTACTGTAGTATCTGGTACTTCTTTTGGTACACAGATCTGGTACATAGAGTAGTTATTTTTATTCACATACAGACATACCTTGGGGATACTGAGGTTCAGTTCCATTCCACTGCAGTAAAGCAAATATCACAATAAAGTGAGTCACATAAAGTTTTTTGGTTTCCCAGTGCATATAAAAGTTATGTTTATACTACGTATAGTCTATTTAAAGTGTGCAATAACATGATGTGTAAAACAACTCTGTAAGTACCTTAATTAAAAATACATTATTACTAAAAAAAAAAAAGGCTGACACAAAGACATGAGGTGAACACATGCTGTTGAAAAAATAGCACTGATAGATTTGCTCAATGCATGGATGCCACAAACCTTCAGTTTCTAAAAAACACCATATCTGCAAAGCACAATAAAGTGAAGGGCAATAAAACGAAGTCTGCCTGAATAGTGAGCAGTAGCATATTATGCTTTGGGGAAAAGGGCCTGGGTCAGTCTTCCGGTGAAAACATTCTTTTATACTTGTGGGCTATGAAAAAAATCACAGGAAAACAAAACTTAACTTTTGTTTGATAAATAGCATCAACTTCAATTAAAATGCTTACATTTTGCTTAGCCTTTTATTTTGTAAACATGACATAACATTAACAAATTCTGTGCCAGTTTGTATCAGAATCAAAAAGCATTAAAAACTGTCTTGTTTTTCCTTCCAAAGTGGTATGTACTTATTATACAATATTCAAACATAGAATTTTTTTTTTTTTTTGAGACGGAGTCTCACACTGTTCCCCAGGCTGGAGCTCTGTGGCGTGATCTTGGCTCACTGCAACCTCTGTCTCCCGGGGTCAAGTGATTCTTGCACTTTAGCCTCCTGAGTAGCTGGGATTATAGGTACCTGCCACCACGCCTGGCTAATTTTTGTATTTTTAGTAGAGATAGAGTTTTACCATGTTGGCCAAGCTGGCCTCGAACTCCTGAACTTAAGAGATCCACCCCTCTCAGCCTCCCAAAGTGCTGGAATTATAGGTGTGAGCCACTGCACCCAGTCAAACATAGAATATTTTTAAAGACTTTCAAAATCCAACATTTGAAGTATAACCATTACTATTCTTCTGAGTAATTTTGTTGGGAAATGCCTATATTCTATGGGGTCATAGTTTACATATGCTTTGCCTCTTCCAGAAAGTGTAAGATGCTTTTAGTGGCAAGCGGGAGGGCTGTCTTCCCGCACTTCCTTTTGGACGTTTGTCCTGTCGGTATATTAGATCACATCGTTTGTTCACGCCAGTGAGGTTATGAACCTGACCGGGTCCTGTGGCCTCACATTCCCTCCTACCCTTCAGTTTTCCTCCTTCTCCACCCCACCCAACCCCCATACGCATGGAACCCTGGGTCCTGTGCACAGCCATGAACTAGTCTGTGATGGAAAGGATTCGTTCTGACTGGCCAGACCTGGGTAACATCTACCTGAACCCCATAAGAATGAGTTCCCTGTAGGCTACTAGGGCTCTGTTGGAAGGAAGGAGACAGTGCTGTTAGAAACCTGCCTGTTATGCTTGTGTCAGCTTCTTTCTCATCTGACCCTCAGTGCAAACAGACACTTTAAAACCTCTTTTGTCTCCCCATTTCTTTGGTTTCTGGTAAATGAAGAGCTTTTTCCCCCTAAACTACCATAGGAATACTGCTTATTTGCTAGATCAATGCGTATCAATTGCATATCAACTTGGGATATGTTTACTTTTTCATAAGTAATTGAAATTTTCCTTGTTGTTTTTCTTTGTAATCTTCTAAATAATATTTAAACCTCAGTTCTTCTCCTATTAGCTCTGTCCACCTACATTTACTGCAATAGCTATCAGTTTGTTGACTGAAAGAATGACTCTTAAGCTATGTGGGTGATTTTTTAGCTCTTTCTTCTACCCTCTGTGCTTAAAATACTGTTTAGTGAGCCCAGCGCTGTGGCTCATGCCTATAATCCCAGCACTTTGGGAGGCCGAGGTGGGCAGATCACCTGAGGCCAGGAGTTCAAGACCAGCCTGGCCAACATGGTGAAACCCCATCTCTACTAAAAATACAAAAATTAGCCAGATGTGGTGGCAGGCTCCTGTAATCCCAGCTACTTGGGAGGCTGAGGCAGGAGAATCGCTTAAACCAAAGAATACTGTTTAGTCTTGCTGCTGAAGGTAATAGAAGCAGTTCTTCTTTAGTAGTCTCCTCACAGGAAAGTACTTAGAGATATTTTTGACTAATTTATGATGCAGTTAACAAAGATTTCATTATAATGCCAAGATGCTTAATAGCAAGAATAGATAAAATAGTGTACAAATTAAGAAAGCATTAGTAAAATTTACTGAACGATTTGTAATCAGTGTATCAATGGCAAACTTAAACTATTCTGCTTTAAAAAATTAACTTGGAAAAGTGCTGGTAAATAATGATTTTGCAGTTGAATCAGAAAAGTCGATGATTTTAAGTGTAACACTTAAATCAGTTCAGTATACATTTGGAAAATGTTGATTCACATTGATTAATTTATTGAAACCATTATTTGAGTATATTATGTCCATGACCTATTTCAGAAAGATTTTACTGTATAACTTGATTTTAAGCATAGACAGTAGAGTTGACACATAAAATCATGTACCCATGGTAATGTATAGTATTCTACTATGGAGTTTGATTGTGAATGTAGCACATTTTATTTTATACTTTGCACTAAGACATGTTGGGGAGAGCATAATCATTTTCTAAATCATAAAGCTATATATGCCAATGAAAAAACACAAGCAGTACAAGAAAATATTAAGTAAAAGTAAGTCTTCTGTCACTCCCATTTTCATTTCTCTTCTACAGAACTAACACTATTATTTCTCATGTGTGTTTCTAATTTACTATGCATATGGAGGTATAGAAATGGGTGTGTCCTGTTTACAATAATGCAGCTACAATATTATTGTACACATTATTCTACAACTTCCTCATTTAAGAAAATATTATGGACTTTTTTGAGGTGAGGTAACCTTGTAAATCTATAACCTCCTCCGTCTTTTTCATAATTTCGCAATTCACTGCATGAATCAATCATAATTTCTCCCCCATGACATTGGAACCGTGCTCTAGTTTATTATTCTCACTATATAGAACAGTTAATAGTTTCTTATATAAGTTGACGAATACTTTTTATTTTTTAAATTTTTGTTGTTGTTGTTGAGACAGAGTCTCGCTCTGTTGCCCAGGCTGGAGTGCAGTGGCACAATCTCGGCTCACTGCAACCTCAGCCTCCCTGGTTCGAGTGATTCTCCTGTCTCAGCATCCTGAGTAGCTGGGATTACAGGCGTCTGCCACCATGCCTGGCTAAGTTTTGTATTTTTAGTAGAGATGGGGTTTCACTATGTTGGCCAGGCTGCTTTCGAACTCCTCACCTCTTGATCTACCCACCTTGGCCTCCCAAAGTGCTGGGATTACAGGAGCGAGCCGCCACTCCCGGCCATGCTTTTTAATTCTTATTTGGGGCTTTAGAACATATTTTGAAGATCTTTTTGGCTTACTGTGTCAGTAGCTGCTAAGCTACTTCATGATTCCTGAAACTATTGCTTTGATACCAGCACCAGACACTTAAAACTTTCTTCAGCTGTGCTCTTTGTGGTTTGTGATTATACTTCTTGCCTGAGTTTCCAAATCTTGATGACATTTTATTTATAAAAGTATAATTAACTAGTTCAGAGTACATACCATTTTTTAGTATCATTGAACTACTGAACTATAGCTTATTGAATTATAAAGGGGTCTTGAAGATACTTTAGTGAGTTCCAATCCCAGATCCCACCAAGTTAGCAAAGGAGAATGATGTGCTGTTTTCAGAAATTCAGAATCCTATTGAATAGTATTAATGTACTCACGTTAAAACTACATAGAAATGCCAACTTGTGGGCTACCTTCTTTGGGTCCCCTCCCTTTGTATGGGAGCTCTGTTTTCACTCTTAAATCTTGCAACTGCACTCTCTTCTGGTCCCTCTTTGTTACGGCTCAAGCTGAGCTTTTGCTCACCGTCCACCACTGCTGTTTGCCGCCGTCGCAGACCTGCCGCTGACTTCCGTCCCTCCGGATCCGGCAGGGTGTCTGCTGTGCTCCTGATTCAGCAAGGCGCCCATTGCAGCTCCCGATCGGGCTAAAGGCTTACCATTGTTCCTGCGCGGCTAAGTGCCCGGGTTCGTCCTAATCGAGCTGAACACTAGTCACTGGGTTCCACGGTTCTCTTCTGTGACCCCCGGCTTCTAATAGAGCTGTAACACTCACCACATGGCCCAAGATTCCATTCCTTGGAATCTGTGAGGCCAAGAACCCCAGGTCAGAGAACATGAGGGGTTTGCCACCATCTTGGAAGCGGCCCGCCACCATCTTGGGAGCTCTGGGAGCGAGGACCCTCTGCTAACATTTGGCAACCATGAAGGGACCTCCAAAGCGATGGGAAACCTTCTCCCCAAGGCAGAAATGCCCCTAAGATGTGTTCTGGAGAATTGGGACCAATTTGACCCTCAGACGCTAAGAAAGAAATGACTTATATTCTTCTGCAGTACCTCCTGGCCACGATATCTTCTTCAAGGGGGAGAAACCTGGCCTCCTGAGGGAAGTATAAATTGTAACACCGTCTTACAGCTAGACCTCTTTTGTAGAAAAGAAGGCAAGTGGAGTGAAGTGCCATCTGTACAAAGTTGCTTTTCACTAAGACAACTCGCAATTTTGTAAAAAGTGTGATTTATGCCCGGCAGGAAGCCCTCAGACTCTACCTCCCTAC